TACTGATGCCGGTGTAGCTCTCATTAAATATATATTTGATTCTTGGGAGAGGTCTCAGGATGCAGTCGGTGTATTTTGTGATCTTTCAAAAGCATTTGATTGCGTTGAATATGAAGCACAAAGCATGATGAAATCCTATCTAAATAATAGAATGCAAGTTGTCGAAATAAATGGTGTAAAGTCGGAGGGAACTAGTATTAAAATGGGTGTTCCTCAGGGCTCTATTTTAGGTCCTTTCTTATTTTTAGTTTACATAAATAATCTTCCTTATATGGTAGAAAAGATAGCTGACATAGTTCTGTTTGCTGATGATACTTCATTAGTATTCAAAGTCAATCGACATATTGATGATTTGGACGAAGTAAACGGTGCTCTTTCTTATGTTTTAAAATGGTTTACGGCTAATAATATGTTACTAAATGCAAATAAAACTAAATGTATCAAATTTACTCTCCCCAATGTAAGGCCGGTAGATTCAAAAATCACGTTGGACAATAAACCTATTAATTTTGTGGATGATACTGTATTTCTAGGTATCACATTAGATTCCAAGTTGCAATGGGGTGCTCATATTACTAAATTAGCGAGTCGACTTAGCTCTGCCGCTTATGCGGTAAGAAGAATTAGACAATTAACAGACGTGGCAACGGCTAAACTTGTGTACTTTAGCTATTTCCATAGCATTATGTCGTATGGTATTTTGTTATGGGGCAAAGCAGCTGATATAAATACAATATTTATTTTACAAAAGAGGGCCATTCGCTCCATTTATAGCATGGGTTCCAAGGAGTCTTTGCGAGAGTGCTTTAAGGAATCAAATATCCTCACCGTTGCTTCTCAATATATTTATGAAAATATCATGTATGCCAGGAAGAATATAGACAGTTTCAAAAGAGTTAGTGATTGCACTAATAAAAGCTTACGTAACAATAACAAACTGATTTTACCTAAATGTCGTTTGGCTAAAGTTAGTAATTCGTTTTATGGCAATTGCGTAAGGTTTTAAAATATAATACCAGAGTCTGTTATAAATCTGCCAGAAAAAAGATTTAAATGTCAAATAAAACACTTCCTTTGCAAAAAAAGCTTACTATAAAATTGAAGAATTCGTTAACGATAATAATGTTTTTGTAGAAAAATTTTAAATACATAGCACTGACAATATTATCTGATTACACTAATAATGAGTAGTTGATTGTCGCATGCCTCTTACTTGTTACACTGTAATTATATATATAAAAAAAAAACACATCTATTAAAAAGAGCAACACACAAGTTTCTTGCTCATTCTTCTTGTGATGAATCTGCATTCCGAATGAGTGGTAGAATCAAAATATGACTATTCAAAAGTGCTTGTAATGAGTTTATTTGAATAAAGATTATTTCTATTTCTATTTCTATTCCATCAAAATCGGTCCAGCCATTTCAGAGATGTTCCGGCTAACAAACAGACAGACAGACAAAAATTGTAAAAAATGTTATTTTGGTGTATGTACCATATTTATATTCATATGCATGTAGTAAAAAACGGTTATTTCAATATTACAAACAGATACTCCAATTTTATTTATATGTATAGATATATTAAATTCAAATATTAATAACCTACCCATAACACTAAAAATCAATATTAAAAATATATATGTATTAATGTTAAAGTATACAATGTATGTATTAAAATAAAGTACAATTCTGAAATATTCTAATGATTCTATATGAATTTACAACACTTCCAAATAACATTCTTACTCACTCAAACACACACACACACACACTCACACGTACACACACACACACACTCGCCGACTAACAAATACATATCTGTAATTTTTATTATTGTATTCTTTGTTTATTTTATTTTATTTTTTGTCATATATTACTAGTATTAATATTATATAAACACTAAATTTTTATATGCATATCGCCGTACCAATGTAACGTTAACTGTCAAACCTGCTTTGATTTCCAGGATACAGGCATAGCCTAGTGTGGGGTCATAGTTACAATGTTACTTAAGTTATATTTTATGAAATAAATGTTATTCTTATTCTTATTCTTATATGCATGTGTATAACTTTGAAGAAGAAACGCCACTACACATCCTATGTGGTTGTAGCCCACTCATGCATAAACGAAATATCTCCTTTGGAAAGTTTACACTCTATCCTGAGGAGATAAAAACCATCGCTCCTAAGAATATCCTTCAATTCTTGTCCCTGACGGGTCTAGGTAGCGAACTTTGAAAAAGGGAGAGCACAATAGATCTATGTAGGTCGCAGTGCTACAGGTGCTACAAACATCTGGCAACAGGGGGGGGGAGGGGATTGTAAGTAATGTGGACTCATGACCCCATTGCTAACAATGTACCATGTCAGGTTGACCTCCACGCGGTTCCCCCTGGAAACCATCGTGATAAATTCTTGTTAAATTTGTCACGATGGGCTAACTGACCTGACCTCATGTTCATCTTATCATCTTCCACTGGTGCCCCGCCAGCGTAAACCGTAAGCGCAGGCGGGTGCACCATTTCATTATCATCCATAAAAAAAAACTGACAATAGTCCAAACCCAATAAAAAAAAAATGTGTATAACTTATTTACTTTGGTACAATGAGTAAGTGATTCCATATTCATCTAGTTAAAAAATGAGAGAAATAATGTTCTAAATTCCTGCAGTTTCTACAAACAGACACAAATTAAAATTTAAAGAATTTATTTAAACCAAAAACAAAGTTATAAAAAATTTTTTTTTTCGGACTACTCTAATGCTGTTGGCCGCAGCTGGCCTTTACAGCTTCACCGGACGTTAGGGGGCGAGTGTAGATGGCACTCCAAACCCGCGGAAGGACTTATGGAGCAGCTGAAGGCCAACTCCTGCCTGACGGATACGACTTTAGTCTGAGGCACCACTAGGGGTTCGAACCTCGGCTCAGGCCGTCGTAATTTCGATCCCCGTTTGAATTGGACGGGGGATCGATCGGAGGGGAACAATAACATGTTAAACGTAAATATCTACGTTAGTTTATAAAAACTGTATTGCAGTCATTTGCGCCCATCTCCAGAGCATTGTTTTACAATTTAAATAAAAACAAATCAGAGGCTAAATGTGGAAAACATAATCCTACATACAAATACTATACAATTCGTACAGTTCTGAAGTTTACTTTCATCATCATCATCTCAGCCTGAAAGACGTCCACTGCTGAACAAAGGCCTCCAAAGATCTCCACGATGATCTGTCCTGCGGTGCTCGCATCCAATGCCTTCCAGTTTAGTTTACTTTACTCATAAAGTAACTAAATCAGCTCTCTCCACATTATATACTGCAGTGATGTTAGGGAACTCCATAACCATAACCGAAACTATCGGATATCTGATATAAAAGAATTTCCGTAACCATAACCGAATACGAAATAAGTTACGGATAATATCAGATAGGGGTGGAGCCTAATTGAGACACATTATGTAACCATTTTATTTGCTATTTATATTTTACTTTAGAAATTCTTCAAAAAAATTATATTCCTAACCGAAATTATCCAAAAGTAATGGATGATCCGAAATAATTTCATATCCGTATCCTTATCCAGTATAATAATCATTCCTATATCCAAAACCTACCTGAATCTGAAATTTCACATCCATAACATCTCTGACATACTGTATTATAAAAATTTCATGACCAAAAGTTTGTTTTCAAACTCCTCTGAAAAGGTTTGATGTATTATTGTTAAGTTTTTGTTTTATATTTGGTATGTTTAAGAATCAGAGACAATTTATAAACATATTTAAGGTGTTAACGATGGAATATATGCAGTAATAATTTATATAGCAAACAATGTTTACGAACTCATATAAGAAGGATTATTCAAAAGAGCAACATGCAAGTTTCTTGCACATTCTTATTATGAAGAGACAACTTTCCGAGAGTGGTAGATTAATAAAACTATGACTATACAAAAGTGCTTATATTAAGTGTATTTGAATAAAGGATTTTCTATTCCATTCTATTTAAAACCAAAGAACTTTGCTGTGAGCATAGATTATACCATAAAATCAGCCTATGTATTGTCTAAAAAAGATGTGTTACAATATTTTTAAACAAATTAGCTTTACAATAATTTGGTAGACCATTTAACTAACTACCCCAAGTTAAATATGCTAGGACTATTTTTTTAATATTTTTATGTAGGTACAAGGTAACTACTCACTGGTTTGTTTTTAAATTTTGTGAATTTCAAATTGAACTGCCAATGTTATTCTTATAGGAATCCTGTTAAGGTCCACTTTGTTAAGACATTTAAAATGTCTTTAAATAAATTGCGCGGCATGTTAGTAGGTCCTGAGTACCACATAGGTGATGAGTAGTTTTCTAACAAGGAAGTTTATTGATGTCTCTAGATAAGTAATGACTGCACGGGAGCTACATATTTCAACGGAGACACGACTAAAATAATTGGTTGAGAGGACACTCAATGAATGAACAAATTGACTATAATTGATTAAAAAAAAACATAATTGAGGTCATTATATTCAGTCATTCACCACAATAAAGTATTTCTAATTTCTACACAAAACAATAACGAAAGTAAAAGTTCTAATTGGAATTGGAAACTTATTTTCCCATTCGAGGGAAATTTTGAAGTTCGAACGTATAACGCGACTGATTACAAAAGTATTATTCTTATCTACGACGTCTTGTAAATAATGTACACCGCGAACTGGTTGTATTGAATATATTTTTTTTACAAACACGTTCGCTCTCTTCTCGCCCCCTCAACCATCAGTAGAGTAAACGAGTTCTTATTAGTTGTTTGTTTGGCAAACCTGGCCGCAGCATCCAAACGAGCCTCAGGCGAGTGGAAAAAACCTACACAGCACAGCATCATAAACAAGCACAAAAACACTCAGGACGTCGCGTAGACGGACACTATCACAGTATATAGGCAAATAAACACTAATATCACTGAAAAACACGATGAAATGATGATGGTACGCACCTTACTCTTAGTAATAACATGTGTAGCCAGTTTTACAACGGCGAAATTCCCTGTACCGATCGTTTTCTCTAACTCATAATTACCAACACACACGAGCTGATCTATCGGAAAATGTTTGCTTTTGTGCATCGGCTTAATATTGCTAGCCATTTTCGTGAAAAACGCGAGAAAACTCAGCCGACCTTATAATTCTGTCGAGCGATTTTTGTCTACTGTTGTTAGTTCCTACTTTTGGCCGCTGCGGCGCCACCGGCGCTCACGTCATTCGACTGGGGATGTTCATATACGGACTCCAATGTTTCATTAAGTAACGTAATTATTAAACTGACTGATTGTTTATACCTAGTTATAATCGCAATTATAATGGTTTAACTCTTATTGAAGTATCTCTAAACTGACATTAAAAAAGATAACATGCATTATTCTTATTTCTTATCAGTGTTTTTCTTATCAATAAGTGTAGTCTTAGTTGATCATCACACAGGTTTGAAAAAAAGAGAGCTCGATTCACAACCTTTATACGGATATTGCTATTTCTCTTGCGCTCATTCATTGTTCGAATGTTAGAATGAAACGAGTAGACTGGTCTCTGTTACGCTATAAATGCAGTGACGTCAACGTCACGGTGTTTACGTCATTCGCGCCAATTTCAAACGGCATGGGGCAAGTCCGTCAGTAGAATTATCGATCTATTTTGTAAAATGCAAAATGCATACACAACTACAAGGCATTGATTTTCTATCGGTATATAGGTATTTAAATATTTATTGCAGTTAAGTTACAAAGAACTGTAATTAGTACATTTTCTCAATAAACGTTTGATACAACAAAGATATTTTTCCCATTTCTGGTTTTATTTTCAATTAGTAGGTACAATTTATTATCATTTGTGGCGTCTCCTCAAAAATTGGATTGAAAATGTAAACTACGTCTGTTACCTCATGTGTATAGTAACCAAGCCTTCTACTTACTTATGACTATGTAACTTTGTTCTGTCCTGTCCTTGAACCTGCCTATTTGGGGTCGGCGCATTATACGTGAATTGTAAAAATTGACTTTGGTACATAATAACATATATTAAAACTACAATTATTTGCATATTATGACTACGTAGGTTTAGTTGAAGGCGAATAGACATTGGACAAGTATTTAATCTCATAATTCATGGATGGACCTTTGTTTATGAAAACAAATGTAATTTATTGTATTGCGCCATCTATCGCCGAATAGAAGTATTTTTTTAACCTAATTTGTTGATGACGCATTTTTGTGTTGTTAGTTATATAATGTTGCTACTAGATGGCGTTTTGCAGAAAACTTCTGTTTTAATTTTTTAATATTAGTATTTTCTCTGTCCATAAATAATTTCACACAACATTGTAAAAATTGTAATTTTTAATAAGGCAAGAAAAAATAGGTCGTATTTTTTTTTTATTTTCTGGAAATAGTGACTATTAAAGCAAAGGAGAAATTTTATTAATAATTTTGTGACTTGATGTCTACAGAATATATTACTTACCTATTTGAGTATACCTACGTATTTTCTATTATCTTATCTTTAGTATTGGCAATAGGTAACAAAAATATACAAATTTGATTTATGGATTATAAATGATACAGTATCATTATCACATAGCCACCTGCGCAAAAATATACGCTGGCTGCCCACAAGTCGAGAATGATATGAAGAGCATGTAGTCAGGTCAGTTTTTTTTATGATAGTGGAATGGTGCACCCGCCAGCGTTAACGGTTTACGCTGGCAGAGCACCAGTGAATTTGACAACTGATACAAATACATAGATATTTTTTTTTTGTAAATACATAAATATCATACATAGAAAACACCCAGACCGATACAAACAGTCATACTCATTAATACAAATGTTTGTGCCGTGCGAGGAATCGAACCCGCGACCATCGGTAGTAAGGCGGTGTGCTAAACCGCTAGACCATCGAGGCCGTCGTATGATTTTCTCATCCCGTTACTTCCCCCGTAGGGGTGGGAGCTTCGGGATGAACCCCTTAAATTTTTTTATAAAATATGGACAAGAAGTCGCTTTACAGTTTTTTTTGTGGTCGTCGTAATGTTTTTCTCTTCCATTCATCCCTGTTCGCAGTCATCTCGTTATTTACTCCCTTTCTTACTATATCATCTTTTACACAGTCCACCCATCTCTTTTAGATCCTTCCTCTGTCCTTATAACATACATATATAACACCTTCCTTAAGATATATCATACAGATAGTCATAACATATAGTACTTACATAGTTACGTACAAAATACGTGTCATATTGTTAAACCTCGGACCTATATAGTTTATATATGTGTTGTAAGAACATAACTTACCCATATAATTAGCGTAACTTAGTAGTACTTATTATGATATACTTGGTAACAAACACTTGTAGTAGAGGCGAAGGGTGTCAGTAATGTGGATTGATGATCTGCTAGCAATATACCAAGTCAGGTTGACCTCTACGCGGTTTCCCCTGGAAACCACCGTGATAAATTTCTGAAAAATCACCCTCTCGCCGCGATCAATACATGAAGCAGTTTCCAAAACAATCATCTTATAAATATTTAATCGCTTAATGTATATAGTCATATATATTTGCTTTAATATAGTATCTTTTTATATATGATAAAAAATATCCGTAACCGTAACCGAATCCATATATTGTAAAGTTTATGACAAACTCGGATGTTGTTTCTTAATTATATACATGTTATGTAACCATTTTATTGCTATTTGTAATTTCCTTTTGAAATTCCTTAAAAATTATTATCCGTAACCGAAATTATCCGAAACTAACGGATAATCCGAAATAATTTCATATCCGCATCCGGTATAATAATCATTCCTATATCCGAAACCTATCCCTATCCGAAATTTCATATCTATAACATCCCTGATGCTTAGGTCGTTATGTATTTATATAATCATATATATTTGCTTTAATATATTTAGTATAGTATCTTTTTATATATGTATTATGATATAATATGTCGATTTATTAACTACATATATTGTAATTTACTTATTATATACTAGCTGTTCCCGCGACTTCGTCTGCGTGAAATTTAACTTATTTTTCTATAACAGTAGCCAAATTACTTCTTACTATATCAACTACCTGTAAAATATAAAATATAAAAATTGCATGTAAAATAGTAAAAACAACACATATTTTCCCATACAAACTGCTGATACCTGTCAAACAGGGTTCAGAACTTTATTGCGTAACTAAACTTCAAAAAACCTTTGACATAGAGTTCGCGGGGTCAGCTAGACATTAATAAAAAAAATCAATAGACAAAAAAGGGCTAAATCAAATGAAACAATCTCGAATAATTTAATTTAAATATATATTTCTATATTATAAATCTGTTACGTATGCCATAATATATATATTGACCGCCCGCTGCCTCGACATTATAAAATATGTAATAGTATTTATAAATTATTTAATAATATTAATTATACAGTGATCATCAACAAACATCTTTGGTTAAAACAAGATTCATTTAAATAGAAATAGCGTATTAAATAATTTAATTATAACAAATAAATAAATTTATTTCACATTCTGTGGGCAATAACAATCACAATGTTATAATTATAAGTTGCAACTCACACGAGAAACAATGTAAAACAAAGGCCGACCGCACATCGGGCGACATTTTGTCGTCGATCGATCAAATAATTGCTTGCACGAGGCCACTGGAAATAGTAGTCGTGTGTGAGTTACAAGAGAAACCATGTAAGACAAAGGTCAACCGCATATCGGGCGACATTTTGTCGTCGATCGATCAACTATTTGCCTGCACGAGGGCACTGAGATTAATACTCGTGTATTGATTAAAGCAAATCAGTATTTATACATTTGCTGTGTGATATTTTAGCGTCTTTATATACATTATTTCTCGTTTGAACTGCAACTGCACTTGTGTCTATTTAAGTTGGTAAATTTTCGTTTTAATAGAGAATTTCAATTCAATAACAATACGCGAAAAATGCTATTATTTTCCATCTTGAATAGACACGATTACCTAATGTAAAGCTACAATGCTTCACTTGGCCATATTCCGTTTGTTTATATTATACGCGTCTCATATAAGAGCAGACAAACCAGGAGGCTGAGATATAGCAATGAACCATAAATTCAATAACCCAAAAGCAAATATTTAGAAGACTGTAAATGAATGTTTTCGGACTACTCTAATGCTGTTGGCTGCAGCTGGCCTTTACAGCTTCACCGGACGATAGGGGCGAGTGCAGATGGCACTCCAAACCAAAGGATGGACTTATGGAGCGGCTGAAGGACAACTCCTGCCTGACGGATACGATATCAGTCTAAGGGCACTATTACTTAGGGTTTTGAACCGGGTCTCAAGTCGTCGTAATTTCGATCCCCGTTTGAATTGGACGGGGGACTGATCGGAGAGATGGGGCGCCAGTGTGAAGCACCATATGTTGTGGTTGAGGTCGTCGTCTTCGCCGGCGAGGACGGTGTCGTGTGTATGGTTAGAATATATGAAACATCATGTAGTCTGATTTGCACCAATGTGGTGTATATATTTGTGTGTACGTTACACGCAATTCTTTGCACTAATATCGTGAGTTTGTATGCATGTGTGTAGTAACTCTGTAACCACTACATGTATCAGTCAGGTCTGAAATATATAATAAAGACCATGAAACGTAGTCCCGTCCAGTGTAGCAATTAGGCTATCATTAGCCATTTCTCCCAAGAACCGTCTTTTTGCTTAAATATATACAATAATATACATGTTGTATACACTAAAAAAACAGCTGTATCATTTTTGACAAACGAAACACTGTTTCCTGTTACTATTGTGACGTATGAACTGAAATTAAAATAAGTAATTAAATTGAGTTTCTTGGCAGTTCTTCTCAATTGGATCTATATACTGAACTGGACGGTAAGGAAAAAATTTTGAAAAAATCAAAATAAAAGATTTTGAATTTGAATAAGTTTTCTTACCAAATGGAATATGGCCAAGTTACAATTTATTTAACTAGCGAGTAACTTAATTATCTTATTACAAGGCGCTGAAGGTAACAAAGTTAGTCTCTGAAGCAAGCGGAGTTGAAAATAAACCTTTAAGACTTTACCTCACGGTCCACCGTTCCATTTTATTCTAACATACAAATTACAAAAAAAACGATACTTAATAATAATATTATTATTGTATGTTAAGTTTATTATTGCTATATTTCCTTAACTTTTATGAAGATTACTCAAATAAAAATAAACATTTATTAACAAATAATAAACCATAGACATCCAATAGCGGTATGCGTTTCTTCCTTACTCTTATTGTCTGTCGCATAATCATAAAAAAAAATGGATATCGCTGGACCGTGGAGCGTGACGTTATGTCGCAATATAACAATTTCCGTGTGCTCTTATATAATTTTAATCTTTACACACTACACGTTAAATTTCATTTTACTTTAACCGTGATTGAACACATTAACTGTGATTCGCTAATATTACTTTGTACACTAATCACTTGGCGCCACTGGTGTCGCCCTCAAATTGCACGGTCTGTACACATTGCGAGTATTTATAAGGGAAATAAATACATACAACGGACATTTTCGGTAGCGTAGTTGTTTTGGTGTGTACATGGTACCAAACGACATAATATCCAATAAACATTTTTACACAAGATCGTTCCAAATTTGTGAACATAACGATTTTTACAATAAATGACGAATAGACTAGAAGCCACTTTTACACAAATTAAAAATATATTAATTTTGTGATGTGAAAACAACGACAATTAGTATTAGGTCCAAGTATTGATCATGTAAACATAAGGTACACCGCACACTATGCAACTGGCAACAGTGCCCCAATTTTATGGCACTTTATAAATTATATTATTGCTGAATACAGCTCTATGTATTTTTGTTGTATACATATATTTTTTTGTAATATACCTCTGATTTTGTTATCAGTTTTAATTATTATAATGTATATTGCTACATTTAGATACAATCTTTGTATGCGTTTTAAATATTAAGATACATTTTCAAAGATCCTATAATACACGATTGGGCACTTCAAATTTATATCAAGTTAAAATAAAATTAATATGAATGTAATAAAGTCTAAAATCTAATATACATCAATCTGTATTATTGAAACGAGTTACAATACTAGTAATTTGAAATATATATTTGAATAATTGTTTAAAAGATATGGGAATTTTATTCACTGATGGGAAATAATAATCTATAATAATAATCTCAGGACAATTCACACAGCGTCATCTAGTCCCAAGTTAAGCTAGCTAAAGCTGATATTACGGGTACTAGATAACTGATACAAGTACATAGATACTTTTTTTTTCGTAAATACATACATATTACACATAGAAAACACACGAGAATTTTATATATAAGATAAATTAGATATAAAATAAATATACCATAATGTAATATAAATAATATAGAAATACCCAGATAATAAATAAACACCCAGACCGATACAAACAATCATACTCATGAATACAAATGTTTGTGCCGTGCGAGGAATCGAAACCGCGATCATCGGACGTAAAGCGGTGTGCTAGACTACTAGACCACCGAGGTCGTCGAATAAAGTAAAATGAGACAATTACGTCACTAGAGGTACAGTTCTCTCACGTCACAGTCCCACAACAAATCTATAAAAAGCTTGATGAGCAGAATGCAAGATTTCAAAATGAAAAAATATATTAAATTTCCTTCTAAAATCACATCTTGATTTGAATTAACAAAACGAAAATAATCGTTCACATAGCGTTCTTTCGTTTAACTCTTCTGTTCTATATGAGTGCACAATCTGGTCGAATTATAAGATCTTTGAAGACAAATATTAAGCATTTTGAACTGTATTAATACGAATACTCTTAAACTTTCGCGTACATACATTATTAAAACAATTTGTTGCGTCTTAACTGATGAATAATTTGTCGAGCGACGTAAATACTTTTTTTTTTTTATACCACTTAGGTGGCAAACAAGCATACGGCCCATCTGATGGTAAACGGCTACCGTAGCCTATGGACGCCTGAAACACCAGGGGTGTCACATGCGCGTTGCCGACCCTTAAGAAACCTTAATATACCCTTCTTGAAAACTCCCATTATAGCATTTTACCATTATAGCATATTAAGATATAAGTGCGTTGTAATGGTTATAACACACTGCGCAATTTCAACCTTAGTCGAAGGCGAGAGCGTAATAGAGCCGAGTGTGTTAAACACGTATAACGTACGACGTTTTTCAACACACTTTTGAAATGAACTCAACTATAAAACTGTGAAACACAGTGTTGCTTTTCCGCGGTTTTGCTTTTTTAAATCGGGGCTGCCTACTGGCTATCGTCGTGCGGCGTTTACTTTGAGATTTGATAAAAAAAATTGCTATTAATGCAGTTATGGAATATATCTTTACTATTATATACTTTAATACTATATATATATATAAGGAGTTTTTAGAGTATTACGGAATACGTAGTGCACGTATTTTATGTTTTAAAAAACGACAACATTAGATCCAGATTATGAGCAAATGTGTTTTTAAATTATTCACGTTATGACGTAACAAACTATAGTAATAATTGTTAACCTACCAAATGTCAAAATGACAATAAAGTTCCATCTGATCAATTACAGGATCTCTCAGATGGGGCTATAGTGTCCGGGACCAATTGGCTCCTTCTGAGATGGGGCTATCGTGCTTGAGACCAACTGGCTCCTCCTGAGATGGGGCTATAGTATCTGACACCAATTGACTCCGTCTCAATTGGAGCTATAGTGACCGAGACCAATTGGCTCCTGAGATGGGGCTAGTGTCCGAGACCAATAATTGGCTCCTTCTGAGATTGAGGTATAGTATCTGATACCAATTGGCTCCTTCTGAGATGGGGCTATAGTGTCCGAGACCAATAATTACCTACATCTCAGATGGGGCTATAGTATCTGATACCAATTGGACCCTTCTGAGATGGGGCTATAGTATCTGACACCAATTGACTCTGTCTCAATTCGAGCTATAGTGTCAGAGACCGATTGGCTCCTTCTGAGATGGGGCTACAGTGTCCGAGACCAATTGGCTCCTTCGCAGATGAGAGGCTAACCATACATATGTCGCACACGCGGTACAATCACAGCTTACTCACATTGCAAGATTTTCTATCGGCGCTGGTTGCTCAATACAATTAACACGGTCTGTCAATTTTGTAACTAATCTTTATTCGTCTTCTCTTATCGTACGTTGCTCGCTCCCACGCTGAAAATATAAACAGTCAATTAATTTTGGTCCCGAGCAACAAATAGTCGCCGACAGAAAATCGTCTAGTGTGCGATGGAACGGTACGCACCGTCTCTATAGCGTTTATGTTTATATCGACACATAAAAAAATTGGAATGTCTGTTTGTAATATTGAAATAACCGTTTTTTTATTACATGCACAGGAATATAAATACGGTACATATACCAAAATAACATTTTTTACAATTTTTGTCTGTCAAAAAAGTCACGTCAAAATAGCTATTTCAAAGATTAGCCGGAACAAATTGACAGACAGATAAAAATTTTTTATTTTTTATTTTAGTGTATGCACCGTATTTATATTCATATGTATGTAGTAAAAATCGGTTATTCCAATATTACAAACAGACACTCCAATTTTATTTATATGTATAGATTAATATAAATAATGTATATTAAACAAAGTTAAATACAAGTTTCTTTCACTGAAGATTAATTCTTATGTACATTGTAGTAGTGAGGTGGGTGATGAGTGGTGGGTGATGAGTGGTGGGTGATGAGTGGTGGGCGATGAGTGGTAAGTTGTGAGTGGTGGATGGTACCTGGAGGGGCGCTACGAGTTGGGGCGCGCGAGCTCGTAGAACAGCACGTAGGCCTCTGAAGAGACCACGTTGCGAGGACTTATCGGGGTCACTCTGAAACAGATTTTTCATATATTACTATAGTGGTAAACGTTTTTTTTATTTTACATCATCTGCTTCTTCCTTATCCCATTAATTTGTGGTCGTCGTAACATGTTTTTCTCTTCCATTCATCTCTATTCGCAGTCATTTACTTCCTTTCTTATCATATCATCTTTCACACATCTCTTCCATCCATCTCTTTTTAAGGCCTTCCTCAGTCCTTATAACCATCGACATTCATATGTAACACCTTCCTTAAAATATTACGTTTGCGGTGTCAGCTAGTTACTATATATTAAGACTAGCTTTTGCTTGCGGCTTCGCTCGCGTTAATTCATCCCTTTATGGGTGGAATTTATCAAAATCCTTTCTTAGGGGATGACTACGTCATAGTAGCTTTATGCGTGCAAAGTCTCAGCCCGATCGGTTTAAAATTGACGAAATTTCATATAAACTTTCATCCCCTATTTTATCCCCTTGGGGGTAGAATTAATCAAAATCCTTTCTTAGCGGATGCCTACGTCATAACATCTACCTGCATGCCAAATTTCAGCCCGATCCGTCCAGTGGTTTGGGCTGTGCGTTGATAGATCATTATGTCAGTCACCTTTGAGTTATATACATTTAGATTTAGGCGTGTTTATTTGAATAAAATGTATTTGTGTGTATCTTTTTCATGAGGTTTTTCAAGAAGGATGTATTAACGTTTCTTAAGGGTCGGTAACGCGCATGTGACACCCATAGTGTCCCAGGCATCCATAGGCTACGGTAACCATTTACCATCACATGGGCAGTATGTTTGTTTGCCAATTTCGTAGTATATAAAAAAAGCATGTCTTATTTGTAGAATAATTAGCGTAAATAATTTGTTACGTTGTTCAGAAAGTAATTTCGTTTCTTCCTGACTGAGGATTTCATTGTATTTTGCACTCAACTTCGCCGGGTCGCATCAACCAATGCCTTTATCAGCTTCAACCGGCGTTCCCGAGGATGATGCATTTTCGACATCAAAATTTCCGGATCGAAATTAGCGAACCAGTTTATCGTACTGTTAACATACCTTCTCCACACATCGGTCAATTTTCGACTTCAACAGCATTTTTGACCTTTCTGTAGTAAAACAGTAAGATATGTCGAAAATGCTGCTTATCGCTCTCCATAAAATACCACCAATAAAAAACTACTGTTATCTACATCACCTGTTTTTCGCTTCCACATCATCGCAGTCATCGCGTTATTTACTTCCTTTCTTACCATATCATCTTTCACACAGTCCATCCATCTTTTTTTGCCCTTTCTGCCCTTATAACCATCCACATTCATTTGATCTTTCGAAAATATTATCCTCGTTCCTACGCATTACATGTCCATACCATGATAGACGATTACCCTTCAACCTCTCTGACACCGGTGCCACATTCATACTTCCTCTAAATACCAATAAAAAACTACTGTGTAGAATTAATTGAAATTTTTCACACACAAGCCTTGCTATATGAGTTCTCAATGCATATAAAAATGATACGGCTTAAGTGTGAATTTGAGTGCAAAAATACAATTAAATGCTCTGTCAGAAAAAACGAAATTACTTTCCGAAGAACATTACAACAATAAAATGTTGAAAACTAACCTCGAGTCATTGTACTCATGCCATTCGTTGGTGTACGGATGCTTGCAGTACGCTGTGTAGTGCCCAGAGTATGTAGTACCTGCAAATACAAACAAACAACTACTATATATATCTTTATATATATATAACAATCACGTGTCACTATTTAAATTATTAACCGGGTCTTAACACGAATAATTTTATGGCAAATAAATCTATATATATATCTTTATATATATATAAAAGTATTTCAATATTAATGTTAGCAACACTTCGCATTTTTTTCTTTCCTTCTGCTTGTTGTTTTAGCAAATTCTATTTATATCATTACTACAGCTTGGATGGCGACCTGCACCATTTGATGGTATCATTTCTTTTAACTTCTCAGCTAATCTTCTAGCATTATATTCCAAACGGCTAACATGTACAATAGTGGATAACTCTTCAAAATAATCTGAAATAAAGGTATTTACATCTCTCGACGTTTCGACTAGGTTGCACTAGCCGTGGTCACGAGCTGACTGGAGCAACAGCGATGTCAATGTAGATAGGTGACAGCAGTTTTTTCATCTACCGTCACTAGATTGTTCAACGTAAGTTCGCGACACACTCACGGTATCCGTACACTTATCGACTGTTGATGCTACTGAACTTTGCTTGAACTTATTTATGACTGGATTCCACGCAGATGATAATTTTAAGCCATCCTCTCTGTTGAAATTCGGATGTTTTTGTTGTAGAAATATGTAGTAAAACTATTTATGACTGGAAAAATGTATTTAATGGTAAGATGGTAGACAGTGAAGTGACATAATATAATTTTGTTTTAATAGATTTGATTATAGAATATAAGAAAACTTTAAATATATCAAAAGAGTTTCTCAACAGTTTTTTAATTTCAATCGCCTCCCGGACCATTCGTGGATAATAGTGGCGATCAGTAGAGAGGACCTTAGGCGCGTACGGTTTAATCCAGTGATTTGTACAGTAGATGATCGGCAATCGCAGATTTGTGTGGTTGTCGATTTTTAACCGCTGCGATGTGCTCTTTGCCATAAAATTATTCGTGTTAAGACCCGGTTAATAATTTAAATAATGTATGTTAAACACGAAAGTTTAAAAATAACTATAACGTTGTATATCCGCGATGGACTCCTAAACTACTGAACCGATTGCAAATTTGATTTGCACATTGTGTGCAATTTGATCCAACTTGAAAGATAGGATAGCTTACATCTCAATTTATAGTCGCAATATTATTTTATTTAAGTAACTGTACTTCTTGCCAGGTCTTGACGTTTAAAGTTGCTAGTTGAAGTTGTAGAGGCAGCGTGTTCCGGACGTACTACGTACTACGTACTGCGCACTACGTACCCGAGTGGTTGCTGACGGCGTACAGGTTGTAGAGGCAGCGTGTTCCGGACGTACTACGTACTACGTACTGCGCACTACGTACCCGAGTGGTTGCTGACGGCGTACAGGTTGTAGAGGCAGCGTGTTCCGGCCGTACTACGTACTACGTACTGCGCACTACGTACCCGAGTGGTTGCTGACGGCGTACAGGTTGTAGAGGCAGCGTGTCCCGGGCGCGGCTGCGTACGGCGACACGTCTAACGCCGATAGCGGGAACTCCACTACCACGTTCAACTTCCCGCGGAAACGCTCCTGCGGCGAGAATCTGCAAACGACATGTACAGTTAGTTCCATATTATGTGCGTAAAAACAGCCTCGATGGTATAAAGGTTTAACACACCACACCAACTTTTGTACCGTTGAGAAACTTGTATAACGTAATGTAATGTATTACTTTTTAAATTTCTTAAAAAAATAATGTCAAATTATCCACAACTAACGGATAATTAATAATCATTTCTATATCCGAAACCTATCCGTATCTGGAATTTCATATCCATAACATCCCTGGTAAACAAGAGATCTTGGGTCTAATCAAGCAACCCCTGTAATAAAGTATGTGACGACCTCGGTGGTCTAGCGGTCTAGCACACCGCTTTATGACCGATGGTCGCGGGTTCGATTCCTCGCACGGCACAAACATTTATATTCATGAGTATTGTTTGTATCGGTCTGGGTGTTTTCTATGTATAATATGTATGTATTTACAAAAAAATATCTATGTATAGGTATCAGTTATCTAGTGCCCATAACACAAGCTTTAGCTAGCTTAACTTGGGTCTAGATGGCGCTGTGTGAATTGTCCTGAGATTATTATTATATATATTTATATTGTTTCTGTCCGTGTTCACAGTCTGCCGATCCCGTCGCGGACCGGTAACCTGAAGTTACAACAGTGCCTGCAACATTTCACCAAAGAAGAGGAACTTGACGGCGACGAGAAACCGGTACGTTTTGTCCTGAGATTATTATTATTATTATAAAGTATGTAGTATGCTGTACCTTTTGAGATGCAACACTAACACCTGCGGGAACTTCTGCACGGTGAACCACTTGAGGCACTTCCGCCGCACGCCGCACTTCGAACACGTCTGTACACAGATAGATAAAGGAATGAATGAATGATTTATTTCTATCTTTAGCACACACAGTAGTTGTATAAAGAAGTTAAACATTAAAAGCAAGAAAAGGAGCATACACATCATCTCAACTTAGTAAAGTGTACATTACCATCACATCTAAATATATATAACTCAAAGGTGACTGACATAGTGATCTATCAACGCACAGCCCAAACCACTGGACGGATCGGGCTGAAATTTGGCATGCAGGTAGATGTTATGACGTAGGCATCCACTAAGGATTTTGATTAATTCTACCTCCAAGGGGATAAAATAGGGGATGAAAGTGTTTATGAAACTTTGTCAATTTTAAATCGATCGGGCTGAGACTTTGCACGCATAAAGCTACTATGACGTAGGCATCCCCTAAGAAATGATTTTGATAAATTCCACCCCTAAGGGGGTAATTAACGCGAGCGAAGCCGCGGGCAAAAGTTAGTTATCATATGTACGCCGCAATTATTTATGTAAATAGAATACAATATCCGTCATACTCGTGAACGAGTGCTGCTTGTAGGGACTGGTCTGCTCTTGTCACTACGACTCTTAGACTCGCTTACTCTTAGTCCTTAACCAGTTGGTTGTATATTTAATATTTGAGTAATAAATTCAATAATTGAATTTGCTAGTTGGTAGTTTGTATTCACACATCAACTTAAAAATGTAAAATAACAATAAAATTATTTAAAAGAGCAACACTCAGGTTTCTTGCTCATTCTTATGATGAGTTTTCCGAATGACCAGCAGATTGAAAAATAAATGTGATGACTATTCAAAAGTGTTTGAAGTTTATTTGAATAAAGGAGTTTTCTTTTCTATTCTACAACTGAACATTGTTAAAACGTACCGGTTTCTCGTCGCCGTCAAGTTCCTCTTCCTTGGTGAAATGTTGCAGGCACTGTTGTAACTTCAGGTTACCGGTCCGCGACGGGATCGGCAGACTGTGAACACGGACAGAAACAATTTAAATATATATAATAATAATCTCAGGACAATTCACACAGCGCCATCTAGACCCAAGTTAAGCTAGCTAAAGCTTGTGTTATGGGTACTAGTCAACTGATACAAATACATAGATAAATTTTTTCGTAAATACAAACATATTATACATAGAAAAAACACAAACCGATACAAACAATTATACTCATGAATACAAATGTTTGTGCCGTGCGAGGAATCGAACCCGCGACCATCGGAGGTAAGGTGGTGTGCTAAACCACAAGAAAAAAGTACTTCAGTTTCTTGCCAGTTCTTCTCAATTGGATCAATAAACTGAACTGGACGGTGGAGAAAATATTTGATGTTCATAAGCGGCTAAAATGTCAGATATGAATTAACGATTTTTGAATTTTTTGAATTAAGTGTATTAGGATCAATATTATAGAAAAATACGATATTCTAAAAAGATATTAGACGATGGTAGTGGTAACTAACTACCACCATCTATAATACAGAGAAGTTTTAAGGCCGACCGAATACGATAAAAGGTACCCAGGAAAGGTACTCTGGCAAATGTGTTCAGGTAGTGATCTGAAGTCCCAGGAGTTGAAGGTGACGCTGTGGTGATGCAGTACCTGAGGTCCCAGAAGGGGTCGAAGGTGACGCTGTGGTGATACAGTACCCGAGGTCCCAGAAGGGGTCCAAGGTGAGGCTATCGTGGTGCAGTACCTGAGGTCCCAGAGGTCGAAGGTCACGATGTCGTGGTGCAGTATCTGAGGTCCCCGAAGGGGTCGAAGGTGACGCTGTGGTGATACAGTACCTGAGGTCCCAGGGGTCGAAGGTGACGCTGTGGTGATGCAGTACCTGAGGTCCCAGAAGGGGTCGAAGGTGACGCTGTGGTGATACAGTACCTGAGGTCCCAGGGGTCGAAGGTGACGCTGTGGTGATACAGTACCTGATATCCCAGAGGTCGAAGGTCACGCTGTCGTGGTGCAGTATCTGAGGTCCCAGAAGGGGTCGAAGGTGACGCTGTGGTGATACAGTACCTGAGGTCCCAGGGGTCGAAGGTGACGCTGTCGTGGTGCAGTATCTCAGGTCCAAAGGAGTCGAAGGTGACGCTGTGGTGATACAGTACCCGAGGTCCCAGAAAGGGTCCAAGGTGACGCTGTCGTGATACAGTACCTGAGGTCCCAGAAGGGGTCGAAGGTGACGCTGTCGTGGTGGCAGTGCGTGCAGCGCAGCGTGGACTTGAGTTGTCCCACGAAGATGTCTCCGACGCGGGACTCCTCCATGCGCACGTACCGGCTCCACGCCTCCGCAGCCGCCGCAGACTCACTGCAACACCCCATAGTTGGGGGGAAGGGTATTGTTAGTAATATGGATTGATAACCCCATTGCTAGCAATGTACCTTGTCAGGTCGACCTCCACGCGGTTCCCCCTGGAAACCGTCGTGTTAAATTCCTGGTGAATTTGTCACGATGGGCTAACTGACCTGACCGCATGCTCATCTTATCATCCTCCACTGATGCCCCGCCAGCGTACACCCCATAGTACACCGGTTCAATTCCGCTCCCACCCAAATTTGCCATTCTAACTAAAGTCTCTTTTTTAATTACGGAGACTAAATTGACTGTTGTTAATGTCAGACTTGGACTGCAACACCCCACAGTAGGAGGGAAGCGGATTGTTAGTAATGTGGACTAATAACCCCATTGTTATCAAAGTACCATGTCTGGTTAACCCTGGAGAGTACCATGTCAGATTTTAGACTACTGCTATTAAGTAAAAACAAAATATTAAACAAGCATATGGCAAAACTAGGCCTATGCACGTCAAAAATCTGCAGATTATGCTAAAATGAAGAGGAAACGCCACTACACATCGTATATGGTTGTAGCCCACTCATGCATAAACGAAATATCTCCTTTGGAAAGTTTACACTCTTTCCCGAGGAGATAAAAACCATCGCTCTTAAGAATATCCTTCGAGTCTTGTCCCTGACGGGTCTAGTTAAAGGTAAAGAACTCTGAAAAAGGGCGAGCATAATAGATCTATGTAGGTTGCAGTGCTACAGGTGCTACAGGCACCTGACAATAGCCCTGGAAACCATCATAGTAAATTATCATTTCCCAAGATGTGTTAACTGACCTGACTTCAAGTTCATCTTATCATCCTCCACTGGTGTTCCCCCAGCGCAAACCGTTTATGCAGACGGGTGCATCATTCCATTAATCCACAGTACACCAGTTCAATTCCATTCACAACGTTTACGTCACCTACATATAATAATTTGTTTTATTCTTCACCTGTCAATATACATCAGTAGTGGCGCTGCCTCAAACAAACAGACGAGCATACATTTTTTACATGGTGGTAGTCATGGTCTAAAAGTTTCGTACACCGCTTTACTTCCGAAGGTCGCGGGTTCAATTAATTGAGGGTGCTTATCATCATGTGAGCCGCAAGTCGATTTGTTCTGTATGCTATAAAAAAACATTAAGAAATATCTTGTACCTGAGGTTGTCATCGATTTCTGTGAGTATAGGCTTCGGTTTAACTGTCACTCGGTTCACATCCTCGTGCAGACCTTCCAGCAGGTAGCGGAGGAACTCCTGCAACACAAATAAGAAGTCGTATGGATGTTTGCTCTAATATGTAAGTCAGAATATTAAATGCATGTTAAAATGTGGCAGCACTTGACCGTAAGTTCTATTTCTTATAAAAACAAGTTAAAAAGTGGCAACACTTGACCCTAAGTTCTATTTCTATTAAGGACAAGTTAAAAAATGGCAACACTTTACCGTAAGTTCTATTTCTATTAAGGGCATGTTAAAAAGTGTCAACACTTGACCGTAAGTTCTATTTCTATTAAGGGCAAGTTAAAAAGTGGCAACACTTGGCCGTAAGTTCTATTTCTTATAAAAAACAAGTTAAAAAGTGGCAACACTTGACCCTAAGTTCTATTTCTATTAAGAGCATGTTAAAGAGTGGCAACACTTGACCGTAAGTTCTATTTCCTATAAAGGCAAGTAAAAAGTGGCAACACTTAACCGTAAGTTCTATTTCTTATAAAGGCAAGTTAAAAAGTGGCAACACTTTACCGTAAGTTCTATTTCTATTAGGGGAATGTTAAAAAGTGGCAACACTTGACAGTAAGTTCTATTTCCTATAAAGGCAAGTTAAAAAGTGGCAACACTTGGCCGTAAGTTCTATTTCTTATAAAAAACAAGTTAAAAAGTGGCAACACTTGACCCTAAGTTCTATTTCCTATAAAGGCAAGTTAAAAACAACACTTGACATTAAGTTCTATAAAAATTTAAAAATAAATACTTGACCCTAAGTTCTATTTCTATTAAGAGCATGTTAAAGTGTGTGTGTGTTCTATTTCTTATAAAGGCAAGTTAAAAAGTGGCAACACTGGACCGTAAGTTCTATTTCCTATAAAGGCAAGTAAAAAGTGGCAACACTTAACCGTAAGTTCTATTTCTTATAAAGGCAAGTTAAAAAGTGGCAACACTGGACCGTAAGTATATATAAAGGCAAGTTAAAAAGTGGCAACACTTGACCGTAAGTTCTATTTCTATTAAAGGCATGTTAAAAAGTGGCAACACTTTACCGTAAGTTCTATTTCTATTAAGGGCATGTTAAAAAGTGGCAACACTTGACAGTAAGTTCTATTTCCTATAAAGGCAAGTAAAAAAGTGGCAACACTGGACCGTAAGTTCTATTTCTATTAAAGGCATGTTAAAAAGTGACAACATTTGACCGTCACTTCTATCTGACGGCCTCGGTGGTCTAGCGGTTTAGCACACCGCCTTACTACCGATGGTGGCGGGTTCGATTCCTCGCACGGCACAAACATTTGTATTCATGAATATGATTGTTTTGTATGTATTTGTATCAGTTGTCTAGTACCCATAACACAAGCTTTAGTTAGCGTAACTTGGCGCTTGATAATCTAGATGGCGCTGTGTGAATTGTCCTGACATTATTATTATTATTTCTATTAAAGGCATCTTAAAATGTGGCAACACTTGATCTTAACCTCTATTTGTATTTGTTATATATGTGGGCAGATTAAGATATTGAGGGATGGCTGCGTCCACTCTTTATAGGAATATTAAATCAGTGTGTAATCAACCTCGCTGTTTGCTTATCACGTACCTACCTCTCCAGAAACATTATTAAAGGCAGTACAAATAAACTTTGTTGTAGTGTACCTGAGCGTCCTGCTGGCTGTACCCCATGAACCTGGGCGCGAACCTCTGCACCTGCGACTTGAGGGTGGTGGTGTTAACGACTGAGTCTCGTTCGCCGCTGCGCCACAGCTCCTTGATCACGCTCGCGAACGCTGCGTCATTATATTGGTTATTATACTTTAACTTGTGTAGTGGTAGATAAAAAACAAATTGTTATGACTATTCAAAAATAAATGATTTTCTATTCTATTCTATTCTATTATCAGGGATGTTAGGGAGCTGCGTAACCGAAACATAAAAAAATATATAGATATCCGATATAAAAAAATATACGAATATATTTTTATATAACCGTAACCGAATCCGAAATAAAAGTTTCGGATAATATCGGATAGGGATCTAATTGAGATATGTTATATAACCATTTTATTAGCTATTAGCTTTTGCTCGCGTCTTCGCTCGCGTTAATTTATTCCCCTTAGGGGTGGAATTTATCAAAATCCTTTCTTAGCGGATGCCTACGTCATAACATCCACCTGCATGCCAAATTTCAGCCCGATCCGTCCAGTGGTTTGGGCTGTGCGTTGATAGATCACTATGTCAGTCACCTTTGAGTTATATATATTTAGATTTGTATTTTACTTTTGAAATTCTTTAAAATATTAATATCCGTAACCGAAATTATCCGAAACTAACAGATAATCCGAAATAATTTCATATCCGCATCCGTATCCGGTATAATAATCATTCCTATAGGTTTCGGAAACCTATTCGTATCCGAAATTTCATATCCATAACATCCTTGCTTATTAAGTTACTAGCTGTACCCGCGAATTCGTCCGCGTGGAATTTTGCTTTCCTCTATTTTTCTAAAATAAAAGTAGCCTAAGTTACTCCTTATTACAACAGCTACCTGCCAATAAAAGTTCCGTCATAATCGGTCCAGCCATTTCAGAGATTAGCCGGAACAAACAGACAGACAGATAAAAATTAAAAATAAATGTTATTTTGGTGTATTCATATGCATTGTGTGTGTGTGTCTGTATGACTTATTATGTGACTGGTATTATCTCCTTTTCATCTATTTCCCAGAAATTTCCGGACAGTTATTATTATTATTGCTTATGTATATCTAAATATACATAATTCAAAGGTCACTGACGTAGTGATCTATCAACGCACAGCCCAAACCACTGGACGGATCGGGCTGAAATTTGACATGCAGGTAGATGTTATGACATAGGCATCCGCTAAGAAACGATTTCGATTTATTCTACCCCCAAAAGGATAAAATAGGGGATGAAAGTTTGTATGAAACTTTGTCAATTTTAAACCGATCGGACTGAGACTTTGCATGCATAAAGCTACTATGACGTAGGCATCCCCTAAGAAAGGATTTTGATAAATTCCACCCCTAAGGGGATAAATTAACGCGAGCGAAGCCGCGGGCAAAAGCTAGTATTTTAAATATCTCCCTTTGATGGTGTGTAAAACTTGTCATTGCAGGTGAAAACAACGAAACAATGACAATTATGAAAGAAATGATTATGACAAAAAATTGCGGACTATTCTGTATGTGTTTTAGTATTACAGCTTTTTGGAGAAGTATCAAAGTAAGTGGGTGAAGCTGTAATATCTTGAGGCTAGTGTGTAGGGATGCTGGAATGACACCTGTGGACGAGATAATAATTGGGAGAGATTTTACTGTTTCTACCTGCCATTGCATTTTTAGTTCTATTGCTGGATCAGTATACTTAGTATTTCTTTCTGTATGTGTTGATAGATGATTATGTGTATTAAAGAATCAAATATCCTCACCGTTGCTTCTCAATACATCTACGAAAATATCATGTATGCCAGGAAATATATTGACAGTTTTAAAAAAGTAGGTGATTACACTAATAAAAGCTACGTATCAACAAACTAGTTTTACCGAAGTGCCGTTTGACGAAAGTTAGTAATACGTTTTATGGAAATTGCGTAAGGTTTTACAACAAACTCCCAGAGTCTGTACTTGATTTTCCAGAATTCAAATGTCTTATAAAATATTTTCTTTGTAAAATAGCTTAAAATTGAAGAATTTATAAACGATAATAATGATTTTGTAGAAAATATCTAACTTAAAATTCATTAGACAATGTTATCTGATTGAACAGAGATTAAGTGCGTAGCGGTTTCTATATTGATTAGCGCATGCCTAATCTTTGTTAATGTAAATATAATTAAATCAATATTTATTTAAAAGAGCAACACACATGTTACTTGCTCATTCTTCTTGTGATGAGTCTGCATTCCGAATGAGCGGTAGAATCAAAAACTTTGACTATTCAAAAGTGCTTATATTAAGTTTATTTGAATAAAGATTATTTCTATTTCTGTGTTTGGTATTGCAATATCTATAAGGTGAACTCATTATTATTATTAATGCCTACCTTTGACGACCTCGGTGGTCTAGCGGTCTAGCACACCGCTTTATCCGATGGTCGCGGGTTCGATTCCTCGCACGGCACAAACATTTGTATTCATGACTATGATCGTTTGTATCAGTCTGGGTGTTTTCTATGTATAATATGTATGTATTTACGAAAAAAATCTATGTACTTGTATCAGTTATCTAGTACCCGTAACACAAGCTTTAGCTAGCTTAAATTGGGACTAGATGGCGCTGTGTGAATTGTCCTGAGATTATTATTATTATTGCAGCGCAGGACCGATCGTCCTGGAGATCTTTGGGGGAGGTCTATGTCCAGCAGTGGACGTCTTCCGGGCTGCGATGATGATGATGATATTACCTTTGATGAGGGCGCCCTTCATGCACGAGAGCGTGGTGTTGATATCGTCGGCATATTTGTCGTCCGCGAGGTACTCCAGCAGCGGCCGCGTGTTAGACAGGCACTGTAGCACGCTGTTCATGAAGCACGTGTTCCCGATGTTGCGGAGCCCGTTCAATCCTGCAAACACCAAATACAGTCGTTTATTTCCCACTCAAGCTTACTATAAAATTGAAGAATTCGTTAACGATAATGTTTTTATAGAAAAACTTTATATCCATAGCACTGACAATATTATCTGATTGGTGCTATTAACAGATTTTGTAAAAAGTATTGTTGGTAGTGAGTCCAGGGAGAATCGAGACATAAGGGAAAGTACTCGCAGAATGGATTACCCTAACATTATAAACCTACCCTTAATATTGTGAAACATGGTGAGGGTTTATAACTCTTTGGCCAATAGTTTAAAGAAAATACATAATTGGAAGCTTTTTAGGAGGAAGTTGTTGTTGATGAATTTCTTAGCAGCAAAAATTGTATAATTTCAAACACAATATAAATTGTTACTGAATAAATAAATATCAATTACATAGTGATTACACTAATAATGAGTGCGTAGCGATTTCTATGTTGATTATCGCATGCCTCTAACTTGTTATACTGTAATTATTTATATATTTTTCAAATTTATTTATTTATTTACAAGTTTCTATAACAACTCTTTTCTTAATCTGCTTGATATAATCGTGTCTAGGCCTGCCCCTTCCCTGTGGAGTAGATTCCACTACTGTACTTCGGTAATCTATACATATAAATAAAATTGGAGTGTCTGTTTGTAATATTGAAATAACAGTTTTTTACTACATGCATATGAATATACACCAAAATAACATTTTCTACAATTTTTGTTTGTCCGTTTGTTCCGGCTAATCTCTGAAATGGCGGGACCGATTTTGACGGGACTTTTTTTTGGCAGGTAGCTGACGTAATTAGTAACTTAGGCTAATTTAAAAAAAAATAAAGTTAAATTCCACACGGACGTAGTCGCGTACGGCTAGTTTTATCTATATCTGCTGCCAACCATTTAGTTTAAGGGTCAGATATGGCAGTAATATTATAGCATATGGAGGAGCGGGAACAGTTATAATATAAATTACATATATATATATTCTTATTAGGAAGTATGAAAGTGGCGCCGGTGTCGGAGAGGTTGAAGAGTAATCGTCTATCATGGTATGGACATGTAATGCGTAGGAACGAGGATAATATTTTAAGGAAGGTGTTACATATGAATGTGGATGGTTATAAGGGCAGAGGAAGGCCGAAATAGAGATGGATGCACTGTGTGAAAGATGATATGATAAAGGGAGTAAATAACGAGATGACTGCGAACTGGGATGAATGGAAGAGAAAAACATATTACGACCACAAATAAATGGGATAAGGAAGAATAAGAATACAAAATTCTCGTGTCACAATGTTAGTTACCATACTCCTCCCAAACGGCTTGACCGATTTTTATGAAATTTTATATGCATATTCAGTAGGTCTGAGAATCAGCTACTATCTATTTTCCATACCCCTAAGCGATGATTATCATCATCATCATCATCATCGCAGCCCGGAAGACGTCCACTGCTGGACATAGGCCTCCCCCAAAGATCTCCACGACGATCGGTCCTGCGCTGCTCGCATCCAATGCCTTCCCGCGATCTTGACCAGATCGTCGGTCCACCTTGCTGGAGGCCTTCCCACGCTGCGTCTTCCGGTCCGTGGTCGCCACTCGAGGACTTTACTGCCCCAACGGCCATCTGTCCTACGAGCTATGTGCCCTGCCCATTGCTGTGATTATATATTCTTATTATTTTTACCTGCCTGAATAAAGACGAAATAAATAAAACAAAGTATGAACTCACCACTGGTCTGGCTGGGCTGTTTCTCTATAGATTCTGAGCGATCAGCGCTTCGCCGGAGCCCACTCGGTCCGCTCTTACCGCCGGCCAATTCCTGCACACACCCACTTATTGTATAATCAGGGGGTTAAACGACAAGTTCAGGGGATGTTGGGGGTGTGACATACAATTATTAACATTTGTAATAACAGATAGCTTGTGTTTTAAGATGGAATAATTAGTGTATTACATATATATATATATATTTTATTTGTACTTTAAAATCCAGTTAGATCTTTACCGAATTTTTTTTAAGAAAATTATATATCATTATTATATAGTATAAAAAGTCGCTGTCGCTGTCTGTCCGTTCCTATGTATGCTTAAATCTTTAAAACTACGCAACGGATTTTGAAGCTGTTTCTTTCAATAGATTGAGTGATTCAAGAGCAAGGTTTATATATATAATACATGTACACCCGTGCGAAGCCGGAGTCAGTAGCTAGTGTATATATATCATTACTCACAAACTTCCTCTTGAATCAATCAATCTATATAAAGAAACAGATATAATAACCGTTCTACTTTTAAAGATTATATATGATATGATATATAATTTATTAAAATAACTTTTAAAATCAATGATTTTACTTGTCGAAAAGATAGAATAACATCAGTTCTTACTTCTTATTTCTAAGTAGTATAAGTGTATATACTAGTATAACTGTGTAACTCAGTAACAAGTTAAATTAAAAAACTTGTCCTTTCTGGTATTCAGTAAATTTTAACAATTATATGTCACACCCATCAATGATTATGTTGACGAAAAATATTCACACAATTCTATAGCTTCAATTTATCTATACATATATAATAAGTAAAATGGAGTGTCTCTTTGTAATATTGAAACAAACGTTTTTAATTATTATGAATATAAATACGGTACAGACACCAAAATAACACTTTTTATAATTTTTATCTGTCTGTCTGTTTGTTCCGGGTAATCTCTGAAATGGCTGGATCGATTTTGATGTGACTTTTGGCAGGTAGCTGATGAAATAAGGAGTAACTTAGGCTACATATATTTTAGAAAAATAAAGTTAAATTCCACGCGAACGAAGTCGCGAGTATAGCTAGTCCATCTAATATTTCGCATCAACATTATCATATACTATCATAAGAATACTATTATAAAATATTTATACGAGGAACACACATTTTGAGTCTATTACCAATGTTTTGGTAGTTCGCATTCACACACTAACTTAAAAGTGTAAAGATACATTTATTCAAAAGAGCAAGATGCAAGTTTCTTTCTCGTTCTTCTTGTGACGAGACAGTTTCCAAATGGGTGGTAGATAAAAAAAATTAAGTACTTACTACTATTCCAAAGTGCTTATTTTATTTATTGGTTGTTTGTATTCACACATTTAAACTTAAAAATGTAAAAAAGTTACAAAAAATATTTAAAAGAGCAACACGCAAGTTTCTTGCTCGTTCTTCATGTGACGAGGCAGCTTTCCAAATAAGTGATAGATAAAAAAAATAATTACTACCTACTTTACACTACTCAAAAGTGTTTAAACAAAGAATTTTCTATTGTATTAGTATTATTTTTATTATATATTTTATATCCGTCATACTCGTGAACGGGTGCTGCTTGTGGGGATTGGTCAGTTCAGGTTGCGAACACTGATTAGATTTTGTTTGCAACAGCATACGCTGGAGGTCACTCTATTCTCCCAATTTTGAATATTAATGACTGTGCATTATTGTAAATATGTACAACATTTATACGAAAAGAATACGAGCTGAGTTCCTTGTCAGTTCTTCTCATCTCGAAATCATTCCAAACTGACGGTAGATTTGACATATCATAAGAGTCTGTAATAGACCGAATAAATATATTTTGAATTTGAATCTTTTATGTATTTGTTATGATGTTAAACAAACTGACACCCACTTGATGGTAAGTAAATATTTCCCTATATATATAAACAGCACTATAGACATCACGTCATCATGTCATCAATGTCATCTGCGATACTTCTAAAGCGTTTTCAATCCAAAGCGTTGACTCTGTACTATAAAATCTCAAAAACATCTTAAGGGCGTCTTCCTATGTGATGGGTTGAAAAAATCGTTTTTTTTTTTTTCATAAATTGCTCCCTTAACATGTCTAGAATACGGTAGTAAAGCGATTTTAGAAAATTCGAAGTCGTTTTAAAGATACAGCAGGTAAAAGAAAGAGCGGTTCGGAGCGGTGAGTTGGCAGTTAGAGACCGGGCCTATTGTGTACCGTCGGCTTTATACCTGGCCGCCCTTTTATTAATATATTTGTTTATACAAGTTTAGACACGTTTCTACAGACTTAAACAGAAATTTCTATTGTTATAATATTTTACAAAATTCTACGGATTAGCAATTCGACGCCATCCAGATTCGCTTGAAGATATGAGAAAGGAAGTTTGGGCAACGTACTATCACAAATGTTCTTCTGATGAAAACCCTCAGCATCAATTTTGTCCAGAAGGCGAAGACAGTTGGTGTAAATGGCGTAAGGCTGAAGCTAATAATGAACTGGACCAATTTCATCACGATAAACCACCTCTAATTCCGCAAGTCCAAGAAGCTATCAAACCGGTTTTCGAAGATTTATCGAAAGACGAATTATTAATTCGTTGTTTAGGAGCAGAGACACAAAACAATAACGAATCTTTGAATTCTTTGATTTGGACTTTCGCTCCTAAACATCTTCATTCTGGTCCCAAAGTTGTTGAAATTGCTAGCTACTTAGCAGTTATTATCTTTAATGAAGGTTTTCAAGGTATTTTAAAAGTTATGTCGATTATGGGATGCCCTGTTGGTCGTGAAGCCCAAGCGTATGTTGAGAAACGGGATGAAAAACGAATCTTACGCTCTGAGCGGCGCGTAAGTGATGTCGTTAAACAAGCCAGGATTGACTCAAGAGCTGAACAATCTGCTTTAAAAGAGTTTCACGAGGAAGAGGAAGGAATACTCTATGGACCAGGCATCGCCGATTGAGAGTAAGTTGATATTTTAATAGTTTTTAACGGACTTGAAACTTTAAACGCGTTTTTCTCAAAACTGTGTTTTTCAAACTTTCCTCCATTGTATCTCAGAAACGGCTGGACCGAATTACTTGAAATTTACAGGGCACACTCAATATATGTAAACGCATGGAATGAACTATTATCAATCGAAAATTTTCAAAACTTCGATTTTTTTATAGCAAAAAACAAAAAAAAAACGCCTAATTTGCAAATTTTATTTCAAATGTCTATCAAAAATCCAATTTTTTTTATATTCATTTGATTATAGGTCATTCCGTGCTTTTAAGCCTACAAATTAAAACGCCGTTTTTTTTTTTTTTTAAGATAAGCCGATAAGCCGGAATCGTGGAGGAAGTGGGAGCTCTTTTTTTCGAGGCGGGGGTGTTCAGAGCGCTGTAACTCTAGTTTGACTGAATATTTTTAGCTGAAATTTTATATTTATACTGCCCAAATATGTGTTAATAAATGATAAAAAACTTGAAGCTCTAAATATTTACTGGTCGTAGAAAAAAAATCCTAAAATATCCCTAAAAAACAGGCCGTCACATAGGAAGACCCCCTTAATCCAAGAAAACAAAACTAAGAAATAAATGAGACAGACTACTACGACTTTATGCAAAGTCATCTCTTATTTATTGGCACGTAATTATAGTTAACTAGCTATCGCGCGTCTTTGTCTGTTACACTAACTTGACATATATCGTTAATTTTAAACTTTCGTGTTTAATATACATTATTTAAATTATTAACCGAGTCTTAACACGAATAACTTTATGGCAAATAGAGGTATTTACCTCTCTCGAAGTTTCGACTAGGTTGCACTAGCCGTGGTCACGAGCTGACTGGAGCAACAGCGATGTCAATGTAGATAGATGACAGCACAACTATCTACATTGCAACCTAGTCGAAACATCGGGAGAGGTAAATACCTTTATTTGACATATATCGTTATATTTCGCCCGATTTACATATCTCTTTAAATTACACAATCTATAATTTAAAGAGATATGTAAATCGGGCGAAATATAACAATATATAATCTATATTACTGTAAAGTTTCATCGAAATCAGTTCATTAGTTTTGGCGTGAAAGAGTAACAAACATCCATCCATATTCAAAATTTCGTGTTTATCATATTAGTAAGAAAATACTAATTCAATCAAATATATCTACCACACACTTTCGTGTTCAACCCGTACGATGTTTTATCAATGTATACGTCACAGTTGCAGCTAACAAATATCAACTGCGTCACAATATCATGTGCATTGTCACAAAATGTGTCTTCCTCGCACAATAGAAATATCATGCCAAAATAAAAAAGTGACAGTGGTTAGAGCATGCCATGTTTATACAAATAAACAATTACGCACACCGAGCGACTACGACGCGACACATCGTCAACTATTTGTCGCGTCGACTCGCTCTGTAGTATACTTACATACTACCAAAACTTACCAAACGCTGCCACAGATGTCCAAAATGCTGGACGAATTAATAACAAACTAAACCTAAATACACAGGACGACTTTTGATTGGACACAAAATGAAAAAACACTCCCAATTTAGCTATCAACACAAAAAAGATAAATATGTACAATTTGCTATTTAAAAAAGACGATCGGAGAATGACGGTTGATATTGCTTTACTGTATAGTTTACAACGATCATATTTGTCGCTTTATTTTATATCTGTTTAGTATAAATTGGATATAATCATTTACGTCGTTCTAGAAGTCATTTACGCATGGCTAATGAGAAGAGCTCTATAATTATAATTTACTAGCTGTCCCGGCAAACGTTGTTTTGCGATATAAATTAATAACGCTATAAAAAAATAGGGGTTGATGATAGAAGGGTGAAAATTTAGGTTTGTATGTATTTTTGTATCATAAAAAAATAGGAACTAAAAATTGTCTAAAAAATAAAAAAAAATTTAGGGGTTGACTATCCCTAACTAAATAGATGTTGGCCGATTCTCAGACCTACTCAATACGCTCACAAAATTTCATGAGAATCGGTCAAGCCGTTTCGGAGGAG